ACAAAGACAGTGATTTGCAAATATCATAAAACACAGAAAACAGTTCAAACTGAGACATTTTACCGTTTTTCTCTGTTTTGTATTTCAACAGTTGGAACGGGGCAGCAAGTGGCTGAAAAGTGATAGTAAGAAGAAACAGCTGGACAAGCAGTGTGCAGCTGTTGTGGTTCATTGACAACAGTAACAGTAACACAACATGATGGAAGAGGTAAAAAACTGCATCTGCAAAATCAGAATATTGTTCCTCAATGTGAAATTGCAAAGGCTTTGAATCATCATCTACACACAGTATGAAAAGATTTCAAGGACATCTGTGCATGAAGGCCAACAAGCAATACTGATGCATGACTGTGAGACTCAGGAACAGCTGACACACAGGTGCAGACTGAAGATGCAAAGAAGGATCTGCTGTTTATGTGAACATGCAGACTTATTGCTGTTCTTTAGGCATCGTTTAACACGGAGCAGGAAACCGTTCTGTGGTCGGCCATCAGACAGCGTTCGTCTGGTTTCCTTGGATACCACGTGTTTACTGTTTTCATCTTGTTTGTTTTTCTGTTTTACTGTGAAAACACGGGTTTCTATTTTTATTGACAGAGTTTTTAAAGTAAACGTGTTTCATGCTTAGAGTGTCACTTCCGTCTGTTGGAGGAATATTTCAAACCATAGCTGTGTTTCTAAGAGCTGAAGTTAGCGAGCTGCCCACAGCAGCTGATCCTCTGCAGGTGTCACAGCACAAACACACACAGCATGCTAATGATGTCACAGGTTTGTGTTACGCCTAAACTGACCTCCTGTAGTTCTGTGCTCATCAGGTCAAAGTGTACGCACAGCTGACCATGAAAACAAAATGCTGACTGTTTATTCTAACACAGGACGTCTTGGCCTTGTGTTGTTGCACTGATGAATCAGATGGGGGCGCTGTACACAACAGACAGCATGACTAGATATTGCATGTAGTGTTTATATAAACATCATGTGGTGATGGTGGTAACAGAAGGACACAGGTCGTTATGCTGTGTGCAGCACATACTGATAATATGACGTTTACACACTGTGCAGCTGCTCGGCTGCACCTGTCAGGAGAAAGCTGCACGCTCACCTGTAGTCTGTGTACTGAGTCAGACTGCCTCCGTTGAAGTAGCTGGGCGCTGCCTCGTTGTTCATCATGCTAAGGATCCTGCGGTTAGACAGAAACACGTGAGGCAGAAGCAACAGCACAGACGCCTCAGTCAGAGAGAAGAAGCTCACCTGATGTTGGGGAACTTTCTCCAGATCTCCTCCACAAAAACAGGCAGGTTGTTGATCTTGTTCTTGTTGATGCACACCGTGGTGACACTTGGCATGTAGGGGAACTTGACATGAGACGTGTAGTTGTTGCAGTCCAGGATCAGAGTGCTGAGCTTCTCCAGGCGGCCCAGCAGAGCCGGGTTCCAATAAGGACTGAGTGAAGGACACTAGGCTTGTACGTCAGTGAGGAAGCTCTGACACCCCCACAGCACCCTACCACAGGAGCCTCACGTCCATAATAACTGATATCCTTCTGTTTGCTGCCCACAGTCAAACTGTGATTACATGAAAAACTTTATTAATACGAATGAACTGTTGCCGGGCGGATTGCTACAGACTGTTTATCAGCATCCAATGTTTCTTCTTACACTGAAACACGGATCAACTTTTTAATGACGATGTGCATCACTTACAAACCAAAGCAGGATCATCATCTATTTGAAGATGTTTGCTGAAGAGCAGAAGCAGCCAGGTGAAAGTTAGAGTTGGTAACAGTTAGCGTTGTTGTCACTACACAGATATTATTCAGCACATTTTCTTTTTAGTTATTTATAAGCAAACACAGCTTAGCAAAGGGTCGGCACGCTGCAAAAGGATACTCCTCCAGCAGGTTGTAGCTCAGGTCCAGCACCTGCAGGCTGTCTGTCTGGGTCAGGATGGTTTCATAAGGGATCTCTGTGAGGCTCTGGTACGCAAAGGAAAGCCACTGGAAATGTGCTGCGTGGCTGTGATGACTTTGTTGGCCTGACGCATGATGATCCATGACCCAGCACTGAAGTGTCTTCTGTTCCTCCAGCTGGCGGTGATCAAGATTAGAAGTCAGATGATCAAACAGCAAAGCAACAGCTGGGTAACAGTGACGCAGAGCAGTCTGGATGCTTCTGCAAGAAATGTTGTTTTTCCCTCAAACACTATCGACTCTCAGCACAGTCGGGAAATTACACACTCACACAAAGCTAACGTACAGACAGCGTGTCAGTGTGTGGAGAGCATATTCATACATGCTGTATGTGCTGTTACAGAAGGCAGGATTCAAGGGAAACTTGTGCTTCAATCAGTAACGCAGCATGAAAACAGAACGTGTGAAGAGTCGAAACATTTTACAGCTGGAGACACAAAGTCAAACTAAAGCAGATTAAACAGATGGTAGGCTACCAACAACACGTTTTACTGTTTGAAAGGAAACAACAGGAACAAAACCTTTCAAAGTAACAATATGGGAACAAAATCAATGATGTCAGCAACATGAGTTACTAAAGTCTGCATCAAACTGCTGCAGACTTTATTTCAACGCTATTGTGGATTTAATGTCAAGCACATGAAACACTGATTTCAGTTGGTCTGTTGCAACACTGTTCAGCATGTGATGAACCAGCAACCATTAAACAAAAGCCAAAATGTGTCTAAATCTCTTGATTCGTGTAGATGGAGCAGCCTGTTAGTGTGAAAGCAGCACAGATATTCAGTTTGATCAGGACTCACCGAGCTGAGGAGGATCAGATGTAGCCTGCATACCAGCCTCTGAGAACTGCTTACCGCTCGTATAAAAGGCCTCCTTTCATACCCGGCCTGCTGATCACATGATGCGGATAATCACAATAACAGCAGCGCTGGCTCGGGTCCAAGCAGCAGAGATAATGTTGAAAAGAGAAAAACGACAACAGCAGCTCGTGACAAACAAAGCCTGTTTTTATTGGTGCAATAACATTAACTCTGTTAATATGTGTTTAATAAAGTCTATAATGCAGCAGCAGAGCTGCTGTTATAATTGCACACAAATACAATATCAGCACATTTACATGATTCAGTCTTTTAATGAGGAAAATAAATGAACGGATTCAGCTTTATTCACACAGTTCATCTAAACACACGTTTACATATTTATGTATATCTTTTCACGTGTTAATTGTAAACAGGTTGTGAATTTTATTATAAACAACAGTTTTAGTAACTTTACACTGATTATTGTTGATCATTTGGCATTAATTGCAGCGTAATGTCCTGATGTCCGTCACAGCTCACTGCTGTCGGACCGCGCTGGACTGGACGGTGCTGGACTCAGATTTTAACCGAGCAGACAAAGCGATGACCTCTGCTCGTCTTACACTCCCTGATTTGCCACTTTGCCCTCCTCCAAACCAGAACACACTTTCTGCTTTCTTTCTTTTTTATCTGAAGAGGCATTTTTCTCCAGTTGGTGTAGCCGACCGGCTCGCCTCCGGCCCACTCCCAGCGTCCTCGGCCCTCCCTGTCGTTCAGACCTGGCGCAACAGAGAAAACGAGCTCGTTACATTCTGCATAAAAAATGCACAGAAACGTGGGGGCTTTGGCCCTGGACTAGACGGCAGGTGCGCCACCCCCTGCAAACACAACATACAGATGTGCAGCGTCGGGTTTAGCTCGGTGGGTGAGCAGCTGCATACGTGGATCGCTCAGCCCACTGAACTAAACCAGCACCACGTCTCTGGACGACTATATTTTAAACACATTAGTTACACAGAATTCTTTGCACTGGATACAAAAATGTTTCTTTTAAGGTTCGTTAAACTTAACAAATGTTCCAGTCACATGTTAAGTTACTTTGTGTCCAGTTCACTTTAAACTTTACATATTAAACTAAACTAAAGTCCATTTTTACACAGTGAGTGATTTTTTATTTATAATGCATTACAAGTGAATGAGGAGCCGACACCAACGACACCGTTACATTTACTCACACATGTAAAAA